ATCACTGTAATTGACAAGATACTTCTCCGGAACTTCACTTGGGAAGTCATCCACTGGTCCAACAAAAGTAGTCTGAAAGAATCCAATTTTGTAGGGATGCGCGGTTGTTCGATAATCACCAGTAGCGTCGTAGACTTTAAATAAGTGGATGACCTTTGCATCGCCTTCGGTTAGTTTCCCTTCAAAATGTTTTATGAGCACTTCACCGACTTGAGCATGGATTCTTGTCCCCTAGACGGTGATGTTAAGAGAGTTAAAGATGTTGCAATTATAAATTCTACAACAATGGAACTAACATAGGAAATCAAGTAATAAACCTACTTCTTTATCGACAAACACCATTTCGATGGTGTTTCCGGAATCTCTGTTGTAGTTTCTCCATAAACGCAGAATCCTAACCTCAATACGCCATGTATCTTTACACGGTCTCAAATCATTGATAGATGACACGGTATTTTTCCTAGCTTTAACCATTGAATAGATGTTTTTCAGACTTGCGTTAGGTTTACAGACATTATGACATCGTTAATATATACTAAATTACTTTCCTAATGGTATGAGATTGACATCTTTGGCATTTAATTTCCAGCTTGTTTCGCAAGTTATCGAATATAAAGTTAGCTCCCTAATTAACGTAACCAAAGATTTGAGAGACGATTTAACGAATATTATATAAGATTCCAAAAATTAATGTTAGCTCTCTAATTAATGTTCCCGAATATTATATAAGGCAACTAATTAAGGTAAACGAATATATGAGATACGATTGTCAAACCATTTGCACGGCGAAAATTAAAAAAATACCAAAGAAAATTGAAAAAAATCAACCAATCAGATTGTCAGAATTTCTCTGAGAAGGCCTGTGTGAGCGACACGTGTCCAAGTGTCTTCTCTTTTAATATATAGGAGGATTTACAATCATATAAATTAATCAATTATGGTTTACATAGTTTTAAAATTAAAAAAGAAAAGTTGTATGAGCCTTATTTTCTAAGGCGAAAAAGTAAAGGGAATTTACCAAATATGAATCAAAATTTAATTTTAAATACAAAGATGTATCCAAACTACAATCAAATACAAAAATTACCTAAAAAATCAGTGAAATTACAACAAACCCCTTATGACTAAACAAAAAAATCAGTATTAAGTTTTACGATTATAACTCTCCGTGTGAGAAGATTTCCAGGGAAGTTTTCTCAGAAGACTTATCAGAAAGTCTTCTTGTACAGTAGATTTTAAAAATAATTTATAAATTTAATAAAAAAATTAATTAGAAAAAAATCCTAAACATGTAATTATATACATTTGTAAATGATGTAAATCTGGATTTACTAAAATTGAATAATTTTCAACTTAGATGAGTGAATGTAAGTTGAATCATGATTTTTTAGTTTAGGGTTTGATAACTATGTTATAGTATTGTTTGTGTGTTT